TAAAGAAGCTAACGAAACACATGACTATCCATTGTTTAAAGAAGCTAACGAAACACATGACTATCCATTGTTTAAAGAAGCTAACGAAACACATGACTATCCATTGTTTAAAGAAGGTGAAGAAACACATGATTATCCATTGTTTAAAGAAGGTGAAGAAACATATGACTATCCATTGTTTAAAGAAGCTAACGAAACACATGACTATCCAGTGTTTAAAGAAGGTGAAGAAACACATGATTATCCATTGTTTAAAGAAGGTGAAGAAACACATGACTATCCATTGTTTAAAGAAGGTGAAGAAATGTTAAACTGGCTATTGTTGAAGAAATCGAGGTTTATTGTTTAGAGAAGTTGGCGTATTATTATCTGGCTATTATTTAAATAAGTTTACGAAACATATAACCAACAATTGTTTAAAGAAATTGATGAAAGATACTTATTGTAAGGTTGTGGCGATATTGAATCTCAGTCGTTGTCAGCTAATAGTTCATAAGATTACTTAAGTCTAATTATTGCTTAGTAAATGATTTTGTTTACACTGCATATTAATTACAAACTAGGTTTATCTTACATTCGACTGCTATTCTACTGCCGCCTTCAGGGAAGCCCCGAGATGGACTACTTCTGTGTTGGGAGTGGCTGGTATCCGATCCCGGGTCTTCTGGGTGGATGTTGATAAGTTACTAATAAATAATTAGACTTAGATGATTGTATAGGCTATTAACCATAAGAACGAAGTTGATGAAATATTAGCCTGGTGATTGATTAAAAAAACTGACAAAAACATGATTATTCATTGTTCCAAGGAAGTGAGGAAACATTGGACTAATTATTGTTTAAAGAAGTTGGCAAAAATACAACAACATGACTTTCCATTGTTTAAAAGTGGTGAACATTAGACTAATTATTGTTTAAAGAAGTTGGCAAAAATACAACAACATGACTTTCCATTGTTTAAAAGTGGTGAACATTAGACTAATTATTGTTTAAAGAAGTTGGCAAAAATACAACAACATGACTTTCCATTGTTTAAAACTGGTGAACATTAGACTAGTCATTGTTTAAGGAAGTTGATAAAATGCGATTAGTTGTGTTTAAAGAAGCGAACAGTAAACTGTATTTCGGGTAATAAGAAACAACAACTAGTATATTTTTATAATTTTTCCAACAAATTTTTCCGGTATTACATTAAAAAGGAAGTGCCTTATTTCCTTCATAGTAAAGTCAAACTTAAAATAATAACAAGTCCATCTAAAAGTTGAGTATTGTGTTTAATCACAAAATATGTTAAAACTATAGATGGATACTCTCAAAAGCTATAGAAGAAAGAAAAACACCATGTAATGTTTTACCTAACGACCTAATTTATAGTTTTTCTATAATATACTATCATATTGTTATAAAACTGTTCTTTTCTCTCTCTCTCTCTCTCGTCATCCGCCCCCCCAGTGGCACAGCGGTATGTCTGCGGACTTACAACGCTAGAAACCGGGTTTCGATACCCATGGTGGGCAGAGCACAGATAGCCCATTGTGTAACTTTCTGCTTAACTTTAAAAACAAACAAACCCTTCGTCCGTATTTTATTAGCATTTCATTAAACAAGTTAATGGCAAAAATTCAAGTTGAAGGTAAATAATTGATCAATAATCAGTAACTATGTTTACAATTAAACAGTTGGCTGAAATATTTAATAATGGAACCCAGATATAACTACAATGTCCGTAAAACAAGAACTGTGCTTAGCTTGCATTTTGTACTTTTATGTAAACATCGCGAAAATTGAAATAATCTTCATGATCGTCGTAATTTTCATTAACAAGTTTCAATCTTAGATTCCAGTGAAGCTGGTAGGATTATTCGTATAAATTGTGCTCTAAAATTATCTTTA